CCGAAGAATTGATGCTTTTGAACTGTGGTGTTGGAGAAGACTCTTGAGAGTCCCTTGGACTGCAAGGAGATCCAACCAGTCCATCCTAAAGGAGATCAGTCCTGGGTGTTCATTGGAAGGACTGATGTTGAAGCTGAAACTCCAATACTTTGGCCACCTCATGCGAAGAGTTGACTCATTGGAAAGGCCCATGATGCTGGGAAAGATTGAATGCAAGGCGAGAGGGGACGACAGAGGATGAGATGGTTGGATGGCATCACTGACTCAATGGACACGAGCTTGAGTAAACTCCAGGAGTTGGTGACAGACAGGGAGGCCTGGCATGCTGCAGTTCATGGCTTTGGATGAACTGAACTGAAGTACATTGGTTAGTAAGATGGAATTCACATACATCATAATTACAGTAGTGACATTCTGATATCTTTGCCATGTTTCATTGATTATAAGCAGGTAGTGGGAAGAGATTGTATAAGATCATGAGTAGCAGTAAGCAGGAAACACTGGGAGTCATCTTTGTGTCTGTTCATTAGAGCGGACATCTGAAAACTTTATTATTCATAGCTGCTGTCATACTAGCTACAGTAAATTTACTCAAACAGGGATATTTCAAAATAATAAAGGAATTTTCTTTTAGGAGGATGTTATATTGCTAAATCTTTATGTACCTGATAACATAGCTTTAAGCTGAAACCCAAAATTCCTATAAACAACAGAATGGCTAAATTATGGCATAGTCACACAATGGAATACTACAATGCAAAGAGATTGAACAAACTCCAATGTGGCATACTTCAAAACACTTCTAGAAACCTATCTAGAATACTTACACATGTGTATTTTTATTGAAATGAGAGAACAAACACATTGACTTAATATGAAACAGAAATAAACACAAAAATTACATATACTTTATTTTTATTGCTAAAGTGATGGGCTACCATGAATATTTATGTTTTGTGACTCCAAACAGCTTCATGAGAGCAGCAGCAGATTCAAAACATGATAGCTACAAGTACACCAGAATAAAACCAATTTGAATTTTAATTACTAGGAAAATTTTAAAATACTTTTAAACTTTTGGTTTAACAAATGGAAAAAAGAATGTTTCTTCACACATTGTCAAGCAAAATATACAAACAGAAAAGATAAAACATTGTAGAGAATATAGTAAATAATCATAAAATATCATGTTAAAAAAAATGTATTGTCACTTTCATTTAACTAAGAAATAAATGTTGAAATTTATTCTCTACAAATAGAGCATATTTAATTTATATCTTCCACTTAATGTGAGATTTAATTTTATAGTAAAACCACAAAGAAAATTTATGTCTAACATTTGAGCAGTATTTAATATGGGAGAAATTAAGTTGCATCCATAGACAAATATTTATAATATTATTGACATATGTAATCATGAGCCCTTTAAAGGTGAAAATTATATCATGGTAACTATTAATATAGACGCTATAATTAATGGTATTTACATTTCTTATCTTTTTAATCTTTTTCATATGGTTTAAAGCTATAAAAGAGTACATTTTAATCCATTATTTACTTTGTTTAATAATAGGTGGAGAAGAATAAACATAAGCAGTAAAAGAAGAAATGTAGGAGGAAGAACTGTGCTATGACTGATGCCAATAAATGTCACTCTGATGGGTACCCACACTAGGTCAGGCGCTGCAGCTTATGTGTGTGAATGTGATTAGTGAAAGTGTTAGTCACTCAGGTGTGTCCCACTCTTTGTGACCCCATGGACTGTAGCCTGCCAGGCTCCTCTGTCCATGGAACTCTCTAGGCAAGAATACCGGAGTGGGTAGCCATTCCCTTCTCCAGGGGATCTTTCCAACCCAACGATTAAACCCAGGTCTCCTGAATTGCAGGCAGATTTTTTACTGTCACCAGGGAAACCCCTAGTGTAATTAGGGTCCCCCTGAAATGAGAAGAGAACACCATAAGTATATAAGTTCAAATAAATATGCAGAAAATGTTAAATATCACTAGCAACATAAAATTAAATACTAATATTTAACTACAAATAAGAACAAACTGCCTAATATTTCTATTTCTGTGAAAAATGATGGGGATTTTGAGAAAAATTGTTTTGAATCTGTATATTGCTTTTGGTAGTATGGACATTTTAACAATATTAATTCTTTCAATCTGTGAAATCAGGATATCTTGTATATATGTCCTCTTCACTTTCTTTCATCAATGTCTTAGAGTTTTCAGTATACAGTTTTCATCTCCTTGGCTAAACTAATCCCAAGATATTTTCTTTTATTTATGATGCAATGGTAAATGGAACTGCTTTCTTAATTTCTCTCTGATATTTCATTATTAGTATATATGTATGCAAAAGATTTTTATATAATGACTTAATCTTGCAATTTTACTGAATTCATCTTCTGATAGATTTTTGCTGGAGTTTTTCTATATATAATATGCTATCAGGATAATGCTGGCCTTGTAAAATGAGTTTGGAACTGCTCCCTTTCCTTCTAATATTTGCAAGAGTTTGAAAAAAATTGCTATTAATTATTTTCTAATGTTTTGTATAATTCATCAGTGAAGTCCTCTGGTTCTGGGCTTCAGTTTGTTGTGATATTTTGATTACCGATTTAATTCCCTTACTAGTAATCAGTCTACTCAGGTCTATTTCCTTATGATTGTCTTGATAGGTTATATGTATCTAGAAATACAACTATCTCTCCTAGATTGTCCAATTTGTTGTATATAATTGTTCATACCTGTCTCTGATGATCCTCTGTATATCTTTAGTGTCAGTTGTAATGTCTCCCCTTTCATTTCTGATTTTGAGTCTTATCTTTCTCTCTTGATGAGCTTAGTCAAAAGTTTGCCAATTTTATTTTTGCAGGAACTGGCTCTTAGTTTCATTGACCTTTTAATTGTCTTTTTAAAAAATTTGCACTTTGATCTTTATTTACCTGATTAGTAAAGTTTACAGTTACCTTTAAATTTTCTGCCCTATCCTCCCTCTCTTCTCCTTCTAGGACTCCTGTGGTGCAAATACTGTTTCACTTGATGTTGGCCCATCAGCCCCTTAAGCTATTTTCACTCTTATTTTTTTCTTTTTGCTTCTCTGATTAGGTAAGTTCCCTGGTTAGTTAATTGACAATGTTGAGTTAGTTTCCATTGTACAGCAGAGTGAATCAGTTATGCATATAGACACATCCCCTCTTTTTCAGATTTCCTTCCCATTTAGGTCATCACAGAGCACTGATTAGAATTCCCTGTTACACAGTAATTTCTCATTAGTTATATATTTTATATACTGTTCTTGTTGCTTAGGCACTAAGTTGCATCCAACTGTTTTGCCATCTCATGGACTGTAGCCTTCCAGGTTCCTCTGTCCATGGGATTTCCCAGGCAGGGATACTAGAATGGGTCACCATTTCCAGCTCCAGGGGATCTTTCCAATCAGGGACTGAGCCCACATCTCCAGAATTTTATATATAAGTAGTGTGAAGTGAAGTGAGATTCGCTCAGTCATGTCCAACTCTTTGTGACCCCAGGGGCTATACAGTCCATGGAATTCTCTAGGGCAGAAGACGAGTGGGTAGCCTTTTCCTTCTCTAGGGGATCTTCCCAACCCAGGGATTGAACCCAGGTCTCCTACATTGCAGGCAGATTCTTTACCAGTAGTCTATACATGTCAATTCCAATCTCCCAATTTTTCACACACCTCATTCTCCCTTTGTTAAGCATAAGTTTGTTTTCTATATCTGTGACTGTATTACTGCTTTGCAAATAAGCTATACTACATTTCTAGATTCCACATATAAGAAATATTGAATAATATTTGTATTTCTCACTCACTTCACTCTATATGGCAGTCTCTAGATCCATCCGTATTGCTTCAAATGTCCTTATTTCATTCTTTTTTTAATGGCTGAGTGATATTCCTTTGGATCATTGTACAGCATCATCTTTATTCCTACAATGATGGACATTTAGGTTACTTCCATGTCCTGGCTATTGTAAACAGTGTTACAATGAACATTGTGGTTCATGTATCTTTTCAAATTATGGTTTTCTCTGGATATACATCTAAGAGTGGGATTGCTGGGTCATAGGGTGGCTCTGTTTTCAGTTTTTAAGGTACCTCCATGATACTCTCCCACAGTGGCTTAATGAATTTACATTCCCACCAACAGTGTAAGAGAGTTCTCTTTTGTCCTTTTCCTTTCCAGCATTTATTTTTTATAGATTTTTTTAAATCATAGGTATTCTGATAGGTGTGAGATAGTACCTCTTTGTAGTTTGATTTGCATTACTCTAATAAATGGTGATGCTGATCATAATTTCATGTTTTTGGCCATTTGTATATCTTTTATGGAGAAATGTGTATTTCGGTCTGCCCATTTTTTATTATAGCATTTTTTTTTCATTTTTATTAGTTGGAGGCTAATTACTTTACATCATTACAGTAGTTTTTGTTATACATTGATATGAATTAGCCATGGATTTACATGTATTCCCCATCCCAGTCCCCCCTCCCACCTCCCTCTCCACCCGATCCCTCTGGGTCTTCCCAGTGCACCAGGCCNAATTAGCCTCCAACTAATAAAAATAAATGAAAATAAAATAAAATAAAATTTTATTCTCTAGTTTGGAACACATTCCTCTATTTACTTTTCTTGACTTTATGTGGCTTATATGCATTAGTTAAAAGAGCCACCTCTCATAATTGTGAACAAGTGGTTTCATGGAGGATATAAACTTACCTTTCAGTGGCACCCTAGCTCTTGGTTGTCATTTAAACCTCTGTGATTTTTCAAACAGTCTATTTATAGTGACTCCTAGTAGATGACAGTATGCCAAGACCTGTCAGTGTCCCAAAGGAGAGGATCTCAGTTAGTACCTAAGTTTCCTTTCTATATTTTCAAACTTATTATCAACAAATATTTATTATTATTTATTCCTTTAAATATATTCTTCCCATACACTAAATAAGATCTTCATTTTTGCTTAAATGCAAAAGACATTCACATACATTTACTGCTATTTTAATCTCAAACTACAAATAGTAATGTCTGTTTAATATAAAGATAATTATTGAAAATTAAAAGACACTTGCTCCTTGGAAGAAAAGCTATGACCAACCTAGACAGCAAAGTAAAAAGCAGAGACATTACTTTTCCAACAAAGTTCTGTCTAGTCAAAGTGATGGTTTTTCCCGTAGTCATGTATGGATGTGAGAGATGGACTATAAAGAAAGCTGAGCACTGAAGAATTGATGCTTTTAAACTGTGGTGTTGGAGAAGACTCTTGAGAGTCCCTTGGACTGAAAGAAGGTCCAACCAGTTCATCCTAAAGGGAATCAGTCCTGAATATTCATTGGAAGGACTGATGCTAAAGCTGAAACTCCAATACTTTGGCCACCTGATGTGAAGAACTGACTCATTGGAAAAGACCTTGATGCTCGGAGAGATTGAAGGTGGGAGGAGAAGGGGACAACAGAGAAAAAGATGATTGTATGGCATCACTGACTTGATGGACGTGAGTTGGAGCAAGCTCCAAGAAGTGGTGATGGACAGGGAAGCTGGTGTACTGCAGTCAGTCCATGGGGTTGCAAAGAGTTGGACATGACTGAGGGACTGAACTGAACTGAATTTATTGACTCAATACACGTTTGCTATAAATGACTACATAGCACCTGACTTCTTTAACATAATTTTCACTATGAAACTAAATTAACAACAAAACAGGACAAATTGTTTCATATCAGAAAGTACTAAAAATATCTAACATTATACTTACAGGAATGAGAACATTTCAATGTCACAAAACAACAGCCTTTTTTTTTTTAAGGGTTGCATTCTAGTAGGTAATTTATAAAATAAGTTATTTTCACAGTTAATAATATTTCCTTCCAAAGATACATCAGTATCTTCAATATTCTTTAAGTACTCTGATATTAAAAATCCTTATCTATTTGGCTACAATACTCACTTGAGGAATTGCTCATAGAATACCTTTAGAGTATTTAGCTATCAATAAGAAACTCAGGCTGAGCCCCTGAATTTCCTTTCTGATTTAAAATTGTCAAGTCAGCAGGAGTAAATTTATGTCAACTAGGATGTGCCTTTATGCTTCCTCAGGGAACAGAAATAAAGACATCAAGTGTTAGCTATTTAAGGTATGTGAAAGAGAAGAATACTATTAGAGTTCCCTTTGACTCACTAATGGTTGCTTACATAAAAAATATCTGATATATTTAACTGCACAAAAAATAGATTAATTAGTCACATAATCTTGTTTCTAATACCTCACACCCAAAGGTAAGACACCAGTAACATTTTAGTTAAATCAATTGGAAAAACTTCAATGGAAAACTGTACTTCAAGGAATATTAGTTATATTGGAGCAGATTAGATTCACTAGTAAAAATAATAATACTTATTATAGCTAATATTTGAGTGTCTACTATCTGCAGACATGATTATGTCTTACTATTACCTATTTAATCATTATCAAAAAAAAAAAAAAGAAGAAGAAATCATCAAGGTAAAAGGAAGTCAGAATCTTTCCCAGGTCACACAGTTTCAAACCTGAGCATATTCACTCCAAAGCTGGGTCTGAAAATGGGAATCCTACACACAAAGCTACAAAAACAGGATTATATAACTTGGGTATAGAATAATAAGATTTTTTTCCCCTCAGTCTAGTGGATTTTATATAGGGGAGTTGAAGATATAGGGACATAAGCTTGGTTGAGCCAAGATTATGGTGAGCCAATTATGGTTTCTGGAAAATAATAGGGAGCATGGAAAGCTTTCCAGCAGAGGGATAGCAAAATCTAAATGCTGCCTTAAGGAGAAAGAAGATTAACATGTAATGTCAACTATTAGACAGCTGTTAAACTGTAACTGTGGAATTACATAAGATGTGGGAGTATTGAGTTTGCTTTAGAGAAACAGCATTACTTCATGGTTCCACTCATAGATTTATAATGAGTAATGAATCCAGTTTTGGCATTTGTTAGGTATCTCATGGATAATCTGGGACTGTATAAATTACTTGGATGAACTGCTTGGGTAAGCAACATATAGTGTAAATTCAAACTAATAATAATATACTGATAACATTTTAAATTTTTTCTTAAAAAATTTAAATGTCCTAAAACTCCTATTGTTTTCCATTTCTGTTATAACTAACCTAATTCAGGCTGCTACAAGCTCATTCACCAAAACAGTGCATCAGTCTCCCTAATAGCCTCTAATGTTCAATTTACTATTTATCTCTGCAACTAAAAACCACACCATTCTCCTCAAAATTTTCAGTGACTCTTAATAACTTAACAGTGTAATTTAAAACTTGTCATTCTGGCATTTAAGACTTCCAAAGTGTCTCTCAACTTGTCTATTTAGTTTATCTCTAATTACTATGTCATTGCTAGTTTATTCAATAAAGATGTTATCTTGCTTTCACTCCACAGAAAGGGAAGAAGGATAAAATTTAGGAATATACATGAGTTTGCTTCTCAGATATTTAACTTCTTGAACCACATTTTGCCATTTTGTTAAAACAGGTTTTTCAAACCTCACTCAACAAGATATTATAAGGATTAAAATAAATTTACATAGTCAAATGAAAATATACTAAAAAACATGAATTTTTCCATCAAACACTGCTGTGTTCCAGGCTCTGGACTAGGCACTGTAGCTGCAATGACAACATTCCAGAGACCAATCTATTAAAAAAAATAAGGACTGATGTTAGAATTTGAGATGATGTAATAACTATACCCATTTTCCCCTTCTAAACTCATAACTAATTCAGATACAAAGAGATCAATGTATTAATTTTGTTACTAACAAAACAAGCCCAAAGACTAGTCCAACCATCCTCTGTACCTATAGGAATAAACACCAGATGACTATCCCATCTGAGGGATGTTTTGCTTCTGGAAAGCAAACCTATTTGTCCAAGAAAGCTGTCTTCCATTATTGTGTGATGGACTATCCAGTCCTAGTGAGTACTACATGCAACCTAGGTATTAAAGCAGGGATATTTCACTATAAATAGAAAGAGTAGTAGATATTCACTGTTGATCTAAGTACTAATCTAGTTAATTTAGCCTTGTCCTAATCCTTTTCTCTCCAGGAAGGAGTTAATTCCCAAGAATTACTTTCCTCTTCCCTCAATCAGTTCAGTTCAGGTCAGTAGCTCAGTCATGTCTGACTCTTTGCAACCTCATGGACGGCAGCATGCCAGGCCTCCTTGTCCATCACCAACTCCTGGAGTTTACTCAAGCTCATGTCTATTGAGTCAGTGATGCCATCCAACCATTTCATCCTCTTGCCTGACTCCTTCCAAACAACTGTCTTTAAGTCCACAGGATAATCTGTTTACTTCCTGATCTTTATCCTCTGATATGGGCATTAATACAATAACCTTATCATTTGCTTTATCTATTGGCCTCTTTTACACATCTATTGAAATTTCTTGACATATACCAGAAAATGTAGAAAATCATATCAACTGTATAAATAGTTCCAAAATCCAGTTTTACACTGCCCACTGCCCTGTCTTTCAAGTGTTTAGGCAAAAATTTATTTGCTAAATCTAAGTCCTTTCACTAAGGACTTTCTTTGTTATAAATTTCCCATTTCAGTCTCTGGCTATCATGGAAGCAATATGGTTTGCTATGTGCTTTAAGTCCTCTAAAATTGTGTGATAACTACATGACTTGTTTTCCAAAGAGGGACACTTCAAAGAGTAAAACAGAAAGAAGAGTAAGACAAGACAGTCCCAGACTGGGACATATGATNCAGCCATGAAATTAAAAGACGCTTGCTCCTTGGAAGAAAAGCTATGACCAACCTAGACAGCATATTAAAAAGCAGAGACATTACTTTACCAACTAAGGTCCATCTAGTCAAAGCTATGGTTTTTCCAGTAGTCATTTATGGATGTGAGAGTTGGACTATAAAGAAAGCTGAGTACTGAAGAATTGATGCATCCATGGGTTCGCAAGATCAAACACGAATGAGTGACTGAACTAAACTGATAAGATAGACACCACAGGCCTAGCAAAGTGCCAGCACCCTAGATCTGGTATGTTTCTCTCTCGATGTGTTTGCTATCCAGTTGGATTCTCAATCCTTAAGGGAAAAAAAAAAAAAAACTGGTTTCACCTGAGTGGGAGGTAATTTATAATGACAAGTGGACACTTCAACAACCTGGGTCCACTTATTACACATGGGTTTTTTTTATATTTATTTCAGTACTACAAGATTCCTAGCTGCTTGAATTGGTATATGCATAACCAACTATAAATATATATATATGGAATTTCCACTGGATTGAGGGTCAGTGTCTCAAACCCCAAATTGTTCAATTGTCACTTGTATATCAGATAATTAATTTCACAATATTTATAGCTTTAAAACATGGATCAGTCAGTTCAGTTCAGTTGCTCAGTCATGTCCGACTCTTTGCGACCCCATGGACTGCAGCACACCAGGATTCCCTGTCCATCACCAACTCCCTGAGCTTACTAAAACTCTTCTCCATCGAGTCAGTGATACCATCCAACCATCTCATCCTCTGCAGTCCAATTCTCCTCCCGCCTTCAATCTTCCCCAGCATCACGATCTTTTCCAATGAGTCAGTAACTCACATCAGCTGGCCAAATTATTGGAGTTTCAGGTTCAGAATCAGTCCTTCCAATGAATATTCAGGACTGATTCCCTTTAGAATGGACTGCTAGGATCTTTTGCAGTCTACAGAACTCTCANGATAGAGAAGGATAAGAGGCTTATGGAAGCTTCCTGATGGGAGAGATTGGTTGAGGGGAAACTGGGTCTTGTTCTGATGGG